ACTTTTGGTTAAAGCTCATCTTGAATGGAAATTGGTTGTTTTAGGAACAGTCACACTACACTGGGAAATGGGCTCACTGCTGTTCCCACAACTGGGAAAGAGCTCACCCACCACCTTCATTTCTCAGGAATTCAGACACCTCAGGAATGGTGAGGAATGATTGACACTACCAGCATGGACTGTTTTGTATCACTTCTTAGTCTCTGAGGCCCCATTGTGCTATCATGATATAAGTGGGTAACTTAAGAGAACAGAACTACTTACTCTCTCTCAGTCTCCAGGAGAGGTCCACATGCAAGGTATTAATTTGCTAGAGCCTCCTACATGGTGCTTCAGAGGAGAAGAAGGCCTGGTCCTCATGTGATAGAAGGCATAATGACAAAAAAAATCTTCATGTGTGTGGTGACTCTTTCCTGAGGAACTCAATCAAATCTCCAAAGGAGGGATTCCTGACCTAACACCACGAAGCAGTCATCTGGCAATACCATCCCTCTGGCTTGTAAGTTTGGATACAACTTTAAGACGGTGTCTGTCAATCAAGCCATAGAAACTCATTACCCAGTAGAATTTTCTGGGATTTTTCTTCTGTCTAGAAATTTTCTTTGTTGTTGTTTCAATGCATACATAGACACAGAGGCCATAGGCCAATCTCAGATGTCATCCTAGGGATGTCATCCATGTCCTTGAAACATCGACTGGGCACTGGGTCCTAGGAACTTTTCTGCCTCCACCTTCTTTGTGTTTGAATTATATGTGTGCCCCACCATGCTGGTTCGTTACATAAATTCTGGGGATCAGGGAATCAAGGTTAGGTCCTTATATTTTCCAGGCAAGTGCTTCATCAGCTGAGACACACACATGCATATGCACGATGCTGGTGTTGGCATGGGCATGCGTGTGTGTGTGTGTGCATGTGTGTGTTTGTCTTTCTGTCTGTCTGTCCTGTCCCTTACCTAAAGGTTTTATTTATGCTGTTGAATCCCTCTCTCTTCTGATCTAAGAGGTCTGGGGGAGGGCCAGGTGATTACATCCAGTCAAAACAGAACACTGTTGAAACTGTCTCTCCCTAAAATCTCAGCTGAGAAGTTCTTACTAGCACAGGAATTTTATTCTCTTAATAATATAAAGGTTTGTAAAGAAAGGACATGCTGAGTCTAGTCTGCTACTGAGAAGGCAATGATATGGTGATTTGGGGTTATTAAGTGTTTATGCACATAACAGTTCTGTGTCCCCGAACTGTGGAGACATCTGACCCTAATTCTCTGTGATTATACGAGATTATGACCTGGGAATTTAAATGCATATAAAGCAGAAGTATTTCTGGCTTTTAAATTAAGCCAGGTCGTGCAGGCAGCTTTCATTATGCAGTCCCTCTGATAGGTCACTTCAGCAGAACCTGACACCAAACACATCAGGGTACTCTAGATGCAGGTGGAGCACAGGAGCCTGCCATGTCTGAATCACAGTCGGAGGCCAGCATTCCTCTTACATTTCAAATTCACCGGCTTGCATGGGTCCCTTCTAAGGCCCTAGCGGGTCTCTCACATAGTTGTGGGGTTTTGTTGCTGTTTGTTCTGGTTTGGGGGGTGAGGTCTTCTTTGGTGGCAAGGGGCTGGGAGGAGGTCTTGTTCTGCAGCCAAGGCTAGTTTCAAACACATAATCTTCTGCCTCAGCCTAGACTGCATGCATCGCTATCCCTGGTTATCATGATTGTGTTTAAAATGAAACATTTTGTGAGATATTTTAACTATAACAGTTTTTATTTTTTATCAAAAACTATTTTTGCCTGTATTTTTGTGATAGCATTTATCTATGTAGGTAGAATGTCCCGATTCTCACTGTGTAGCCTAGATACATTTCAACTCACAGCAAATGAGCCTCTTAAGTTCCGGGATAGCAATCATGTACCGCCACACCTAGCATTATAATTGCTATAGATCTTTCATTTCAGCTCTCCCCCAATTATCTTCCTCTAGTACCGAATACTGATGAGCATTTGGGGGAATCAAGGTAAACAGATATTGAGATCGGGATAAATTATGTGGCTATGGATATAGCGGAGATACATAAGTCAAGACCCTACTGTGGATGGAAAACCTAGAGGGGGCTGGCAGTGGCACTGAACTTCTGCCATCCCAGCACCTGGGAGTCTGAGACAAAAGGATTAAGGACTCATGAACATCCTAGTAAAACTGTATCTCAAAAAAGGAAAGAAAGAAGAAAAGAAAGACAGGGGGAAGTAACAGGAAACATTAGAAACAAGATCAAGACAGAGGATGTCACATGCAATTGTGCCAGAATGGCACATGTGTGACACTGACAGGCCACCAGGAAAGGGGGACCAGGGCAGAACTGGAACTTGCCTGGTCAAAGCTGTGCTCCAGGCGGGAGTCTCTTCCTTCAGCCTTCAGAACTAAGAGAGACTTAATTTCTGCTGATGGAGAGACTGTAGATACATTAGACTAGTAAGCAGGAAATTTATCAGACTAATTTCTAACAGTAACATACAGCAGTATGCACATTGTGATGTCATGCCTGGCAATTTCTCATGATCTCTTTATAATCTATAGTTTTCCCTTGCATATCTGTGTTTGTGTTTCTGTGAGATTGTCTCTCTAAATATAATATTAAAACTTGGGTATGCCCCACATAGGTACCGGATCCCCCTGCTCTCTCCTCCACAGATACCTGTAGAATGACTTACCAACACACCCACAACATTGTCATAACATGATGGTGGTGGGTCTGCAGCTCCCCTTCATGAATACAGGCATCAATTTTCACATATTTGTGAATCTACACAGGACACACTATGCATCTGTCTGATGACAGAATGGACAGCCTGTAAGCAGAAGCTCGAGTCCATGCTGAGAGATACAGGAGTGACCCAGACTCTGATGAGATCATCTTTGCTTTTAGAATTCAAATTGGACACGATTTATGGGGTTTGTGTGTGTGTTTATTTGACTTGGAGAAATGAGTGCTTAAGAATCATCTGCCTACGGAACAGTGTCGAAAGCCAGGGGCTAATATAAGACCAGTGAGGAGATCAAGGAGCTTTGAAATGGCTAATCGCAAGGGAGAAAGTTCCAGTTAAAAACATGTACTCACCTCAAACCCATTATAACAGCCCAAGAAGTGAGTGAGTAAGACAATCCAGACAGAGCCGGGTCTTTTCTGTGCACTGTCCAGCTCTGATAAACTAGTGCAGTTGCAGATCGGGACCTGCAAATGCAGGGCTCTTCTATTTGGCTTTATGTTTTAGGGAGGGTATGGAGGTATGAAATGCAGTACTCAGAAGCTCTGTCAAGCACAGGTTGTCCCTTGAAATGATAGAATTTATGGGTCTAGGGTGAATGCTGTTTGTAACACAAAGAATTTTCTATGGGAATATAACCAAAATAACAATGTAATGACTGCTATCAGAACGTGTAAGCTACCTTTACTTGTATACTCCCCCCCTCTCCGTTCCATAATTGCCATCATTTCCTGTATCTCAAGGAGGGTGGGTAGGACAGGGATGCATATATACACAAAGAGAAATGAATGCCCGTCAGATACTTTCCCAACCACAGCTTTGACACCAGCCATCCTTTCTGTTAGAACATGCTCAAATTGAGTAGGTATCATTTTTACAAAGAAAATGAAAAGCGATTGCTTTTTATTATTTAATGTGTAGAAATGAGTTGCTGGTACCTAACAGAATCTTCCACAGTTCCCCACATCTCAACCCCTGTTTCCCTCTCCCTGTAACATGTGCAAGCTGTGGCAACTCCACCACAGGGCTATTCAATAACTCACTTCTTACCCTTTTGTTATATTATGGGTTTTCTCAAAAACATAATTTCTCTGTCCTCGAATAAAAAATCAACAAACACACCCACAAAATTCTAGTTGGACATAGTGGTACAGAGCTATACTTCCAGAAATGGAGAAGCTGAAGCTACAGGACTCCAGCATGTCTGAGTGCATCCTAGGTTAAATATTGAGTTCAAAGCCAGCCCAGACTACTTAGCAAGACTCTACCTCAAAAAGTCACAGGAAGGAAGGAATGAAGGAAGGAAGGAAGGGAGGAAGGGAGGGTGGGAGGGAGGGAGGGCGGGACGCCGGGAGGGAGGGCGGGGGGAGAGAGGAAGGAAGGGAGGAAAAGAAAATACATTTTACGTCATCTCTGCCTCAGTGATGCAGGCCAGAGGCAAAGCCTGGGTGAGAAACCTTTGTGCATGAGTGATCCATTAGGCAAGAGGAATGGATAGGGTAGTTATGATAGCACACTCCTGTAATCACAGCACCCAGCAAGCAATGGGACAAGAATCAACAATCTGAGGCCAGGCCAGAAAGATGTCTCAGAAGGTAAAGGTTCATGCCACCAAGACTGACAGCCTGAGTTTGATCCCTGGAGCCCACAAGGTGGAAGGAGAGAACCGACTCCCACAAGCTGTCCTCTGACCTTTATATGTGTGCCTATGGTATGTGGGTGATGGACACTTGTGCATGTATGTACACACATGCATGTGTGCACACATCGAGAAAGAGAGAAAAAGAGAAAGGGGGAAATATATACATAAGTCAAAATAAACCTTTAAAATTTAAAAAAAAACAATTTGAAGACATTCCAGGCTCATAGTTATCTCTAAAACAAAGAAGCAAAGAAACATAAGAAGTGGCGGAGGGATAACTGTGGGAAATTTGAAACCTATAAGATATTTCACAATTCACATAAAACATAATCTAAGGCAGTTTTGTAAATGATAAGACATTACTAAAGGGAAAGGTAGTTATTTGTATTTCTCATTCCCAATAGTGATGCCATGCATTGTTAGATCTTAAAAGATTGTGTAGCTTTTATAAAAAATAAAAGATCATGTTTCACAGTATTCACCCAGAGATGAGATCCAGTTGGCATTTCTCTACAATTCGTTCATCTATTTTAATAGTTAAATGTAAAGCAGCTAAACTGTATGTTCAAGCAAATGTATACTTAACAAGATAACAGAAAATTAAAATAGATGTCATCTTTAATTTTTATTTCACATTAATTCATCACATTAATTAGATAATAAATAGCACTATTTATTATCTAAGTACACCCAGTTATGTAAATTTACAGGGTTTTTTTCTTCACATAGTCACCTTCCTAATATACATACAACAGAACACAGAACACACTTGCAATATTCAGCCTGTCAAACCTTGCCTGGGACAAACAAGATTCTCAGTAGCTTTATTATTCTACATGGGGATAAATACAGTTCTCAATAATTGACATGAATCAGGACTGCTGAAAAAAAACTGAATACATTCTTATTCCATCTGGGGTTATGTGCACTTGTTTATTTTAACATGGTTTTCTAAATGTTGAATTACAATTCTCCTCATAACACATCTCTGGGAGGTCTTGAAAATACCCTGAGTGGTTTATGTGGTTATTTCTAGAGCTCCTGACAGCTGCGGAGTTGACATGAGGCCTGCCACCAGGGCAGCGGTGTAGAGACTGTAGTGCTGAGTATTCACCAAAGGTATCTTCAAAAGTGGTAGTCAACAATCAACATTATTATCCCTCTTTTGTTTTTTTGTTTCTCTAATCTTGCCAGGATAGAAAATGAGCAATTATTGTTCCATTAGGCAAAGAAAAAAGACAGACCAATGCAACCCAGTGCTAGTTTTTTTTTAAAAAAAAAAGAAAAAATCATATTGAATTAACAAATTGAAAACTTTAGTTAAGACTTCATGAACTTTGAATATAAGACAATCGCATCAGAATGCTAAATGACCGCATGCTCATTCTGTTCGATGTTGCCCATGAGATCTTTCGTGTCACTTGTTCCTGGACTCGGATTACTGTTGAAGTAGAGAGTGTTTTCAAAGCTGGCCTCTTGAGGCATGTGGAGCACATGCCTTTTTTTATAAAAGAAATAGGCTGCAACGCCGGCACCTATCACAATCAGGAGGACCACAATGACCACTCCTGCTGCTTTGGAAGAGCCTTTGGGTTGAGGATCCATCTTCCTCTGGTCAGCTACAGACAAATGAAACCATTAGCAAACAAGTGGAGCATAGAGGGAAGGGGTGGGTGACAGAAGCTTCAGGAAGCAGCACAGTTGATCGTCCTGGGTACCTTCAACTTATGGATATTCTTTAAAATGGTATTTGTCACAAGATGTGAAGGCAGGACTCAATGTGACATAGAGGACACTTTAACATGTTCAGATGAGTTTTGGGTTGATGGAATATTTCACCTCCCTATGTACACTGAGGTAGTACATCAGGCAGAATTCACACTTATCTCTTGTATCAAATTAATTAAATAATTGAAGGATGGCTGGAAGGAAATCTCAGTGGTTGGGATCACTTACTGCTCTCCCAGAAAACCAGAGTTTGGTCCCCATCATCTACCTCCAGCAGCTCAGTCTGTAACTCTAGCTCCAGGAGATCTAATGGTTTCTCTGGTTCTTTCAGGCACCAATACATATGTAGCAGCCTGTCACACAGACACACACACACACACAGACATACACACAAACACACAGCTCCACACAAATATATTACAAAAAGTAAATCTTTTAAAAATAAAATAATTTTGTAAGGCTGCTTACAAGCATGCTTTCAAGAGATAAAGTGGTGGTGGTGGTTGATGTAGCAATTACAAATAAAATTTTAAAATTAGGGGGAATTTATAATGGAAATCTGAACTTCTAAATATGATTAATAAACAAACGTCATTCATGAGATCAATAAGGTATTTAGTAGCAAGCCACTAATCTCATTTTGAGTTCCTGTAGCAACCACCAAAATAGGTAAAATGGGATTAGTTACCTAATTAATGTTTTCTATAAAGATGGAAACAAACTTAAAACAAAAAACAAAAAACAAAAAAGAACCCAAACAAACAAAAAAAGAGAGACCTAAAAAGACCTTGAAGGAAATGTCATTCATAGATCTCACAAGGCAACTTTTTGTAATTCAGCAACATCTTCAAGAACTTTTTAAGATAAAAATGTAAATTTAATTTTTTAAACATTATGAAAGATGGATTGTGGCCTAATGATAAAAGTTAGCATGAGACATTCTACTGAAAGTGAAGGAGGAGAAGGAGGGATACCATGGCTTTTAAAACAAGCAGAATCATATGACTAATGGTGACCTTGAGGTTTCATAATGATCTTACCTTTGGTTGTAATAGATGAGTGTGTAGTTGCAGGATCAATAACTGTTGGAAAAATGGAAAACAAATGTTATAAAAATACATAATAGCTAAATGTTGATAAATTGTATTCGGGTCAGAGATACATGACATCATCCATTGTTAACTGTAATGTGGTCTGATATGATGTAATCTGATAGGTTCTCATGTGATCTGATGTCATGTCATGTCATGTGATTATGTGAATGCCCGGATGGTGTGATTGATACGCATAAATATATAGACTTAGGCATATAAATAGAAAGATTATCTGTACCTTCAGCTATTACTACCTACTTACATACCTACCTATCTACCTGTTCATCCATCCATCTTTCTCTATGTCTTTGTATGCAAATGCAGCATCCTATACCTATGGATAAGTTTGAATATGCTAGAAGATTTGAAAATATGAACCTTCAAGTTTTATGTGAGCATTAATACATCTAAACACCTACAAAATCCATGTGTAGCTAAGGTAATCTAGACTAGGGGTTTTGAAACTGGCACACCAAACTCTAAACTGTTGTAAGATACTTGACTGAAAAGTAAAGTAAGACACCAACATTGGTCCAGAGACTGTAGCCACAGCTCTATACCAAAGGGTGTAGAAGCTTAAAGTAGAGTTATAAACTAAAAATCTACACAGTTCCAAAACAATAAAACCTATTGAGGAAACAGAACTATGTTCACTGCTTGCTTGCTTGCTTGCTTGCTTGCTTGCTTGCTTGCTTGCTTGCTTGCTTGCTTGAGTGATTACAATCATAAGAATCAAAGCCAGGGTCCTATTCATGCCAAGAAAGGGCTTGGTCACTGAATGACCCCAGGCCACCTCATTTATTTATTTCAGATTCCAATGAGTAATTTTCTTTTGGGGAAAGATAATGCATCAGGTAGAATAGCACAAAAATATCACTCAAGTACAGTCAGTGGCACACGGAGGTTTACCAGTTGTTTCTCTTTGCATGCTATACCACTCAATCTCAGATGGAGACTGGGCTGGTTTTATATGACTACTTCTCTTGCTTCTTATGATGTGGACTAGTGACTGCTCTTCCCTTTTCCCTAGTGCAGAAGCACTGTGAAGATAGGCTGTCCAGATTGCTTGTAACTTAGCAGAACATTAAAATGTACCAATAAACGAAGGTTTGGCAGAGCCATCACCTTTTACTCAAAGCTACAGGTGGAGATTGATCTTTATGGCAGGACAAATTCCCACCAATAACAGGGAAAGCTACACAAAAGGGATGCAACTACCCTAGTACTATGTCAGCATGTTACAGTCGGAAAGAGATGGTGGTCTGGAAACCATAGTACAAAATGTTTAACTTACTTTTTGGCATTTTACAAATAAATCCTTTGTATGAAGAACAGTGGATATTATTCCAAACGCCAGAAGCTGAAGATAAAACTACACAATCATTGCGTTCCCCAGAGGGATCGCCTGTTTTCCAGTTGACAAAGGAGACAGGATTGTCGTTCAACCATAGCCACTTCCCTGGTCATCAAACAAAACCAGCAAAAGCACAAGTTAAAAATGATCCTTTTTATGTTCTTCTTCTTAACATAAAATGCCTAGCCTATTATTATTATTATTATGTTATGCTAGAACCAATGGTTTCTAAAACTTCTATCAGGAAAGACAGTAATAGAAAATTGTTACAGAAAAGAAAAATAATGTATTTGTTAGATTGTTAGTTGAAAGTTTATTTCTACTTAATAGAAAAATGTACACTATCGTTTCTCTAGCATTTTTATTATGGTGGGAAGAAAAAGAAACTGTTCTCTGAATATTTTTTAACTAACAGCTACAGGAGAGCTTTTTAATTGACAACTTTCAGGGCTGGACAATATGTAGGTCGTTTAAACTTTTGGTTATTGTAAATAAAAGATGATTTTAACTTTTCAAACTCACCACAGATTAATTATTATTTAAGGCAAGGCTTGCTGGAACCAAAACACTGTTTTCTATACAACATTTTTAAAATATTAGCTATCAAATAATGGTTTCATTAGAGTTACCTTCAACATTTCGGAACATGCCTATCCAAAAGTTGGTTTTACTTTTAAGAGGCTCAGCACGGTATGACAGAAAACTTGACTCAGCAGCATTCTCGATGGAAGCCAGGGAGGCACCTGCAAGGTGTAAGACCGTAATGAGAGGAGCTGAGAGCATTCCTGTGAATATTCCTGATATTAAGAACAATAAATGACAACCTAAGCTCTACTCAAGGCTCAGTACACTGTAGGAGTGTTACTCCAGGGCCATGCATGAAATTATTCAGACTGAAGAGAAAACTGAACACCTTTCAGACAACATATAGCTGATAATTCCTCATCAATCACCAGTGTTTGCTTTTATAGCAAAATCCTACAGCTTAGTAATAACTGATATATTTTAAACAGTCATGACGGTTTGCCTGGGACATCACAAACATTCTTTCACTAAATCTTTCGAAGACCATAAAATAGATTCTTTTGTTAACTCATTTTACAGATAAGAACAACAAAGCACACACATAGGTAATTCATTGCCTGGCATCCCAGCACTAACTGAGCACAGAATCCTGGTATGACTCAGGCATTCTGAACCTGGAGAGGTAATATTTAATCATGTGGGTATGCATTCTATAAACTGAGTTCTGAGTTATCCCCCCTCAGTGACTGTTAATTGTATGCTTACTTAATCCACCATTGAATATACTTCACAGCTATTAGGCATTTTAAAATACTTCTGACATGTTTTGATCAAAGAGAATGTCTCCTTTTATCTGCTAAATAAAACAACACCTAAAACTGAAAATAAAGTTTGTATATATTCATTGTAAATTTTAAAAACAAAGCACTTAAGCAACATGTAAGGATTTCTAAAAAAAATTTTGAAAAGTCAAAGGCATATTGCAAGTCCTCTGTGAAACAATGGCAACACTTTCTTGGCCATGGGCTTGCAAAGATTCACGGAAGACAGGAAGGAGAGGAAGAGAGGGAGGGAGAGTTGGAGGGAGGGAGAGAGGGAGAGAGGGAGGGAGGGAGAGGAGACAGAGGAAAGGAGGGAGGAAAGGAGGAAGGGGAGGAGGGAGGAAGGAAAAGAAAAGGAGAGAGAGAGAATATGATCATGGTAATACGCCCACAGCCTTTCTCTAGCCCCATGGTACCTTCAAAAGCCAAAATCCCAACAATCACAGTGAAAACCAGCAATCCAGTAGCCACGGGGGTGGGGTGGGGGTCAGAATAAATTTCGAGCTCTTTTCAAATTATGAAGTTCACTGTAATCCTCATGATAACCACTAACAAAATAACTAAACAGGAAATAAAGGTTCCTTAGCTTCAGGTGGGGCTGGAACTCAATAAGCTCATTGTGTAGTTCAGAAATCTTAAGTTGAATGAACCATTGTAAGTTGGAAATTCTTTTTAACTTGGACATGGTGTTGTATGCTTGCTATCCCAGCACTTGGGAGGCAAAGGCAGGTAGATCATGAGTTCAAAGTTATCCTCGACTACATTTCAAATTCAAAGCCACTGGAGTATGTGAGACCCTGTCTCAAAACAACCGCAACGAAGCTGTCTTTGCCATTTCTGAGATTGAGTTTGGTTTAGTTTTTCCTTATAAACAAAATAGACAGCCGTAAAAACACTTCTATGAATAATAAAGAAGCCAGTTCCTACTCAGTTATAAAATCTAAATTTACTGGTGATAAGGAAATATAATGCTGTGAGTAGCTTAGGATCAGAACCCTAAGAATTTAGAGTATTTGGATAGAAAGATTTTTGGATAGAAAGAGGGGTTTTAAACCTAAATTCTTCAAATTCTTCAAATTCTTCATTTGTAGGAAGTGATGTTGACTATTCTGTTAATAGAAAATTATTTTTAAAAACTACCCGTGTGGTTGGGATGTAGCTCACTGGCAGAGCTGCAGAGCACTTTCCTAGGGATGGCCTGTATTTGATCCCCAGCAACAGAAAATAATAGGAAGGCGCTTAGATCCCTTATATTTTAACTTATAGCATTTTGATATCATTGATCTAAAAATAGATTATTATAGGATTTTCTTTCAGGAAACATGGCACTCACCCATTCGAAGGCACTCCAGGGAAGCTTGACCCCAGCTCCTTGTAAAAGAAGATTCAATATAGTAGCAATGGCCAGAGAAAGGAATCCACGCAGTCTGTTCTGACTCTGGACACTTGCCAGGCAGTTGTGGAGGCTCAGTAGCAGGGATTTCTGTAAGTAAACATGTATTTAAAGCATAATCAAAATAAATCATAAATAAATCCTGGGTTGCTGCAATATGTGGAGTCTTATTTTTAAAGCTAAGGGAAATTATATCCTCTACCATTACATATAATTTACTGATGTTTGTTATTTAGAGCCACCATATTTCTTGGGTTTTCATTTATTTTATTGTTTCAAATGTATTTCAATAGAAAACAGTGGCCATGAATCTTATTCCTTATAATTTACAATTAGTAATTTTAGATTTCTGCAATGATGTTTGAGATTAAAGCTGGGAGTGGTGGTATATGTCTTTAAACCCAGCTCTCTAGAGACAGGTGGAGCTGTGATCCAGCTTGGTGTACATAGCAAGACACTGTCTCAAACAAACAAAAACAAACAAATAAAAGTGGTAAAAGTTTAACAAATTATGTCAAAAATAATTAATGAAGTGGATTTCCTTGTCAAGCCACTTCTTTTCTGAGATTCTAAGTCCTGTAATGTTCTCTTAGCTAAGGACAGCTGTGACAAACTGCCCTAGCTTGAATTCTAAGCTGATTGTACTCAATTTGTATGCATCCTGGTATAACTCTGCTGAAGCAGATGTACTGACACCAAAGGGAAGGCCACCTTCTTGGATAATTTGTCACTGGAAATTCAAAGGACAATTTCAATAACAAACATTCAGAAGTCTATCATGAGCAAGTAAATCCTAGAAACGATGCAAAATTTGACCTGTGCGTATTAGTTGATATCTTTTCATTAGGTTGATCAGACAGTCTATTTTGCTCTCAGCTACCCAGGATACACTACTGGTTGATAAATTCAGCAGTGATGGGTAATAGCTTATTTCACACAACTTGATATTCCCCAAACCCCTTTTGTATATCCAATTACCATCTGATTTTTTGCAGAGAAAATAAAGACTTTCATTGCAGTATGATGTCTTCCAGTAGCCATCGACATCCATGTAAACACATGCTGATTTAAGTTTGGGCTCGTCAGTGCCCCAGTTAGTATACCGCACCCTCCATTTATCCGTCCAAGTATATTCATTATTGGTCTGCACAAATAAGAACAATCATGAAGTTTCAGCCTTCCTTCTCATATAGAGCATGAAGGAAACAAGTAAGAAATAGGTATGATACTTAAGGCTATAACTGAACACAGAACCTTGAACATTAGTAACTTTTAATAAATTTTAAGTCATGCTACTAACTCAAATTCAGTAAAAACACCCTTTTGAAAAGTGATTATTTCATGACCATCTTTAGGTCCACAACCTGGAAAGTATTTTGGCTTTTTTTTTAATGGTTTTTGTTGTTAAATTTTCACTTTTTGTTTTTCTTTCTTTTCTTTATTTTCTTAGAGAAGAAGAAAGGAAGGGGGAGAGAAAGTTTTGAGACGAGCGTGTGTGTGTGTGTGTGTGTGTGTGCCCGTGCGCGCGTGTGCGCCTGTGTGAGAGGCAGAGAGAGAGAGAGGAGGAGGAGGAGGAGGAGGAAGGGGAGAGAGAGAAGAAGAGAGAGGGAAAGAAAGAGAAAGAGAATGAGAACAGAACATTGGGTGGGTACAGAGATGAAGATGATCCATCCCTTGGATGGAAGGTGTTGGGGGAGGGGAAAAACATGAGCAAAACTATATGTATGAATAAAAAATTGAAGAAAGGAGTTACAACTGATGGTTTAAAAAAAAAAAGACGATTGGTAAGAAAAGAAGACAATGACTAAAGAATATGTGTCTTATTCCATAAAGCTGCATTTGCTTTTAGCTTCTCATGGCCAAAGAGAAGTTGGATCTTCATAACAATAAAATGTTTATCTTACTGAAATTAAGGTAACATCCATATCATCGAATCCTGAAAGAAAGCCTTATTTGTTCTCATGATCTTGTTCTGCTGCTGAGACAGCAATGGTAAGTGATAGCCGAAACCATTTATCCTTGTAGACTCTATAGGATCTGGGGTCTTGATACAGCATCAGTGGCCTTTCAACTATGTGGATTGTGCTTTTTTTTTAAAAAAAAAAAAACTGGTTGTTTTACTTCATTTGCACATTTGACATATTTTTAGACAAACAAATGTATGATCACATCCAAGCTAATTAGTAATATAAAAATTACCACTTATCGATAACAGCACACTATCTAAAAGTGTTTTAGAACTAATGCCTAAGTACAGCATTATAAAACATTAGCCAGGGAGAAATAATTTAAGGCTAAACACTTTCCTCATCTTAATTCCATCATTTAATTTACCAAGACAATCACTAAAGACACGACAGGAAAAATTAAAAACACATTTTATCTCAAGGTGGAATTGTGCAGCATTCTCTCATTTACTCAAATTATTCTTGCATATCATTGACTCTAGAGGTGTCATGAAAATGGCATTACTATTCTAATCATAAATTTTGGCACTGAGGAAAAGTATTTCATCTTTCAAAATATATTTGATGGCCAATTTGAAACACAATTATGAGAAGAATTGAGTGATTTATCAGATCATTAATTATCTAAAAAATAGTCAACAGAAATATGAAAATCTCTTATCTAAGCACAATCACCAAAACCACATGGGCCTAATCATTTTAATATTCTTCACCCTATTGAGGAAGTACCTAGTGTATGAAGAGTTTGCATCTCTGCATAGCGACTTAAAGCTTGGCAAAACCTAACCTCAGTCCACTATCCAATTTTATACCTTTCCTTCTTTCTCATCCTCTCTGGTACTCTCCCTCAGCTCTTACCACCCTGAGTTATGTCTTAAAATGGTGAGTATCTTGGGATCAGGGCAGAGCTCGGTAGTGGAGCCCTTGCCTAGCATATGTTAGGTCCAGATTTAACACAAGTACTGAAAAAGAGAATGGTTTGAATTTCTCTAACAAGCCTTCTTGAGCCACTCCCCTGCCCCAGGACCTCTGCAATGCTGCTTGCTGATTTGCTAGCTACCTGGTGGGTGGAGGAATGATGGGTAGCATATGTCTCAGGAGTCTCTACCTTATTGCCTCTCTTAGTTCGGAGCTTCATCCCTCACTTTGCCCCAGTCCTCCAGCCTTCTCTTTCTGCTTTGGAATAAAAGAATGTGACTTCGACGAAACACTTCTCATACATAGATGGAAACTCTATGACTGGGACTTATAACAATTCTAAACTATTTTGCAACAAAACATGAAGTATCCCATCCCTGTTCCCCATGCTCCTGACCTACTTTCTCTTCTCATGCTGCAGCTGTGTAACTATGACTCTGGAGAGGAATAAACAAATGCATGGAGCTATTTAGATGTATAATATAATTTTGGATATAACTATTCAAATCCAATTATTGTAAATATCAGTTATTGTTCTCAGTTTAGTTTCTGACACATTATCACTAGGTCACTAGACCATTGACAGTGGAGACTCATGTAAGTGTTCAACTGAAGAAACAGAAAGAGAAACACATGGGACTATAATTTATCAATCATGTTAAGCTGTGAATGTTCTAGTATCTTACCAAGTTGCTGTTCAGGGCAATCCAAACGGGTACATTAAATGGGTGCATTTTCATCCATGCAAATGCATTACTGTAGGGGTCTAGAATGCTAGCAAGCAGGGAAGTACGATCCTTGCAATATTTCTCCGCTTCATGCCATGGTAGCTTCAATTTCATAAGGGAATAGCTGCTTTTACCGTAGTTAACAAAGCCATCTTTTGGAGTTGTGGTTGGAGAAACAGGCAAGGAAGGGTCTAGAATAGAGTGATTATTTTCATTAGCATTGTCAATGGGCCAATACCTTCAATATCCAACTTCCTGCTCATCCATCATAGATGTAAACACAAATTCCTAAGTCCAAACTGGCAGGACTTAAAAATATTTTCACCACATATTTTACAACATAAGACTAGTATTTCTCTCTGTGTGTACACATTTGTGAACATTGATGTGTGCAGAGTAGCACATGTGTGGGGGTAAACACATGTACGCATGTGCATGTATAACCAGGGGTGAACCTTGACTTTCTTTCCCTAGAAGCCAACATCATGACTTTGAGAAGGAGCCTCTCCCTGAGTTGGAATTCCTCGAGGAGTGTGAGCTGGCTGGACAGTAAGCCTCAATGATCCACCTGTCTCTTCTTCCCCACTGCTGGGATTACAAGTGTGTGCCACCTCACGTGTCTTTTTATGTTGGTTCTGGGGATAGAACTCCTTACATCTGCAAGGTAAGCACTTGACTGGTTGAGTTATCTCTCTAGTCCACAAAGCTTTATTTTTAATCAGTATGTCTGATTAAACAATTTCCAAACTGTATTATGTATGTATGTGTGTATATATATATATATGAATATATATGAATATATATGTGTGTGCATGTATATGATTATGCATCTGTATGTATATACATACATATGTGTGTATAAGCATATTACATATGTATATGTAATATATATATATATATATATATATATATATATATAATATATGTGAGTCTAGAAGGAAATCTCAGCAGTTCAGAACACTTGTTATTCTTTAAGAGTATCTGGATTCAATTCTCAGCAACCACATGATGTCTCACAACCATCCACAACATCAATTCAAGGCAATATGATGCCTTCTTTTGACTTCCATGGGAACAAGGCATGAACATGGTACACAGACATATAAAGTGTATCACTTTATACATAAAATTACATTAAAATTGTTTAAAATATATATTTATTATTATGTATATGCACATTGTTTAATATATATGTATATATTAAACAATTTTAATTTTATTTTATGTATAAAGTGATATATACACACACATATATATTATATATATATGACATATATAATATATATGCAGTTTCTAAGTAAAAAACAAAGACTCTTGAAAATCTTTTGTAATCTAGTGCCCCTATAAAAGGCCACAGTTTAATGCTACAAATTAAACAATATCTGTCTTCCTGCTATCATTAGTCTTTGCTTTTTCTCTTGGTCAAATGGCATAATCAAGAATTTTTTCTGGGACTGGAGAGATGGCTCAATGGTTAAGAGTATGAGTTGTCTTTGTACAGTTCCTGTGTTTGGTTCCTAGCACTAATGTAACTGCTCACAACCATCTGTAACTCAAGTCCCAAGGTATCTGTTGCTTTTTGATCTTCTCAAGTGATGCATGCATATGGTATACAGACAGGACTCCAACCAACACACACAAAAAACAAAATCATATATTTTCTAAAAGAAACCCCTCCAGCCCTTCTGTAGTTTCACGATTATATCTATCCAACTCTCTCTGTAATATGCCTGTAGTAACTAGTGCTGTCTTATCGAAATTAATTCTGAGCCTTGGAGCTCCTTGAAGTTAGGTCTTTTCTCCTTTCTTTAATGCCCCAGCTTGGACTTACTGCTATTTTCTATCTGGATTCTAAAGCACTTAAGACACAGGAAGCAGAGGTTGTTCCTGTGAACCTTAGCTAATGCCACTGAGCAGAGACCAGCAAACAGGAAGAAAGCTAAATCTGAGCATTTCTCTGGTTTTGTAACATATAAACTACAACTTGCTGTTGGGGGTAGGGACATAAATGATTAATGTTTCTTGACATTATATGAAAATCAAATTTGTGTATGTAAAGTTCTATTGGAAAGCATCCACTTTCACTTGTTTACCTATTATCTAAAATTGTCCCTGACCATGACAGAGTAGAGGGATCTTAACAGACATTGTGTGGCAGGCACACCTAAAACACTTGGGTCTTTATAGAAAAGTAATCAGTAGCGGCCAGTTCTACTTACTCTTGGCTACAGGTCCTGACTAGGTCAATTCTCTAACCTGTTCAACATAAACATCTGCCTTATTCTGTACCTAAGAAGTACCAAACTTTCTCTTCTCAGTCATGCTCTTTAATCATAAGTCATTTTCAGGAAGTATCAGCATCCCTCTCCCCTGCTGCTGCTGCCATCTTGCGTTGGTGCAGGGTCCTTTGACCAAGAGACCCTGGACAGACTCCTTAAACTGTCACATCTTACATGGAAGCCTTAAAACTTCCCAGCCTAGGAGACTGGGCACCATGCCATAGGAGTTCTTTTTGGACCACTAAAAGTGCTAAATGAGGCTTGAAGTGAAGTGAAGAAGAGGAGAAGAAACAAGTCGAGGAGAATGAGGAAAAAGAACAGCAAAAAAGACAGTTTCACAGAAGTCAATACATAATCAAGACATTTGAGTGTTAGGTCCAGTGTACTTATTCCTTAAATATCTGTAGAAAAGAAAAGGAACTGCTACTAAATATTGGGAGATTGTTCCCATGTGGTTAGATTAGGCAACTTTTTAGTTTTTATTTCTTTTCTATGTGAGAGTGTTTTTTGTGCATACATATTGGTATACCATATGCATAAAGTACCCATATAGAAGAAGGTGTTGGATCTCCTGGACTGGAGTTACAGATGGTTGTGATCCATCATGTGGGCACCGAGATTGGACCTGGGTCCTGCATAGTGTTCTTACATCCCTCCTGTCCCACTGTGTGCTTTCCAGAAGCTTCATCACTAGCTTATGGAAGTATTATGAAGAAGAACATTAAAGATGGATGGATGGATCAACGTGTAACATGGCTGCTCTGGCAAAGAATCACATCTGAAGATATAATCTGGTAGGAATGCAGACACACCCTGGATTACAGAATGATTCGGCTGTAATACAGACACGCCCTTAATACACACCTTTAATCCCAAACAATGTAGGTAAGTTTAGTTTGTAGAAGGAAGCAGCCATGTTTGAAAAGGACATCTAATTGAGGGGCAGACAAACGGATGAATCAGAGAACAATTTGACAGAATGAGTCAGAGATAGGATACACCCCAGCCTCACAAGAATAGACTGGAAAGAGGATACTGAAGAGAGCAGTGCGGGGGAGGGGGTGTAGTTTTATAGGGACGGGCTATAGAAAGAACAAGCTAGACACAGGTGAAGACAGAATGAGCCAAAATGTAAGGTGGAGCCAGAAGACTGGAACAGATTGCCAGAGTTAGTTTGAGGCCAAGCAGAGCAATTCAGTTAGAAGTTAAGAGAAGCCAGTTTGAATCAATCAGCTTGGAGAGGAGTTTGGCCCAGGACAGCTAAATTCAGCCAGTCAGAGATTAGAAAGAACTAGAAAGCCTGAGCCTATTCAGCAGTAAGCTTCTGAAATGACAATTATATCTGGAGAATAAAAGATACATTTATAATCGAGCAATAGCCCTTCCTTTCTTTCCCTTTTGTTTCCCAGCCACTGTGACATGGATGCGTTGGCCTGCTCCACATTGTATTTTCCCTTACTACAGGCCTAACATGATGAAGCCTAGAGACCAGACTCTGAGACACAAAGCCAAAATAAACCTTTACTGCTTTTATATTAATTCTTTTGGGTATTTTTTTTTTGCAGTCACAAAAAGCTGACTGACATATATTACAAGTTTCTAATTTAAAAAAAATACACTTCAAGCTTAATCTGCACAGAACTTTCTGCAATAAAAGGGATCAGAGTCACAAATAAAGTATAGAAAATAGCACCTCTTTGGAGAGGGGTAGCCCACCTCTTTCATCTGTCATGGGCTCATGTAGCTTAAACCCAGCCCTTGCTGGTGAGTTTTGGCAAAACTTACCAGTCTGTGTTTGGCATATATAGCCTTGTTTACTTTCACAGGTGTCATCCATCCAGGTCCCTGCTTCTCGTGAATTGCCACCAATCACAACAACACAGTCAGCCTGTCCATTTGTGGATAAGGAAAACAAAGGCAACAAAAATAAATTAATAATGACTCAAATCAATCCGTTAGTTAGAAAACGCACTCCTGCTATTCCTCTTTTACAATTTTTAAGATCATCTATCCACACAACTTATCCAACCCACTATCATCTTCCAATTGTTGCCTCCACCACCTGTGTAGATTCCACCCCCAACCCGAACTTTTACTTTTTATGACTTCCTAGTGCATTCCATTTTATTTTAACCTCACTATGTTTTCAGCCCTAATTTACACACTCAATGCCAAATAGTTTCTACAAGGAAAATCACTTACATATCAACAGAATATAGCTGTCAAGGTAATTGCCATAAAAGCCACATTGATCAGATCATTCCCTACTCAGCCTTCCTCTTTGTTCTCCATCTGACAACACACAAACTCTCTCACAGAGCTTCAGTGTTTCTCTCAGTTCTGCTTACCTCGAGCTTTCTCCTACTTTTTTCTAACATTTCTACTTTTTTTAAAACAGTTTTAGAAACTCCCACTGCCGTCTGAGACATTTACCCATTTTCTAAACACATCTGGAATGTTTTCCAGAATGACTCTGTTCATCTCACTCACCTAGCATGGCTGCCATCTTCATCCTCTTTAGTTTTCCTGATTATTATGTTTTAAACTTCCTGAAAATAACTCCCCACAGCTGATTCTTTTCCACTCCCACCCACTGTGTCCTGTAATGACAGTGTCTGACACAAAGAGCCCCATAGGCACATGCCCACACAATGAAATCACCCTATCCTCTGTCTTCTGGCATGGGACAGCAGACTCTGTCATGTTACACTCTCATTTCTTTATTACCACACTTGTAATACAAGACTTGTATTCCGGTTTAAAACTTTCATTTTTAAATATGGATAGCCATATTTAGACATATCACAAACAGATTCATAATTTTTCACGATGTTCATAATCCCCAGGATAATGTTTAACACTAGCCAATTGATCATTCAATGATATAAGAATGAAGTAAAAATTTTAAAAAGAAGGTAGAGAAGCAATAGTCTATATTCTGATGTATAGAAGCACTTGGCATGGTGTTTGTCATGGATCGAGTGCTGTATAAATGCAGGGTAAGTAACGGTCACGATGTTGCTGATATCATCAGAAGTAGCGGTGTCTTCCAAACCAGCATCCCGATTGCTGTAACAGCTACAAGTGATAAGGGGCACATGGTGCAATTATAAACTTGGGATCAAGTTTATCTCCTGAGTACCAATGAGGCTTAGAGTGAAGCTAGATTTCTACCACTCACTGCCAATGAAGAGTTCTTAACTAAACATCCCTCCTCTAAGGTTGATTCAGTCTGAGAAAGAAAAAACTCTGTATAATTAGGGCAAAGGAAGGCAGATTCTGGGGGGTATATCACAGAAAATTAATCAACAACATGACTCTTTGCACATAAAGATAGTATCGAGAGGTGATGGAAAACTTAAGCTCACATCTTCGTAAGACAGGCTGCTTCTTCTTCCACCAGGATATCCTTTCCCCCAGTTTGTATAATGAACTCCTCGTCCATCTGTCCACAGGAACGTGTGTTCTGAGTTGACATCATTCAGCCCAGTCCAGGCACTGAAAGTGGAGTCTCTCATGTGATAGGTAAGAAATGCTGAAAACAAGTTATACAAGATGATTTAAAACTTGGGACTGTGAACAGTGCAAGTACAAAGAAATATTTTAAACATGTTAATTTTAAAATACTGACCACATAACTCAACTCTTGTTAGTATTCCCAAGCCAAAAAAAAAAAACCCACAAAAAAACCCCACAAAAATAGACAGAGTCTAATCTTAGTATTCCCATCGTGAACCAAGTTTCAGACTCACTGAGTCGATTCTAGGTCACATACTACTACCGCAGATAGTTGGGAAAGTTGTATCTCACCCAAAGACACCAGACAAAGGATTAAGAAAGTCTCAAAGCCATCCCATCCACTCATGCTGGATACCTCAATATGAGCTGTGGCTGGGAACTGCCTACTAGCTTACAGAAAGAAGCATGCTCTTCTAACTTATTAAAACTCATCCTATAGTTCTATTTTGTAGTTTCATTTTAAGGATTTATTTATTGTAGTGTGTGTGTGTGTGTGTGTGTGTGTGTGTGTTCACATGTGTTGGGGTACCTCAGAGGTCAGAAGAGGATGCTGGATCCTTTGGATTTGAAGCACAGGTGGCATAAGACTTTAGACCCAGGATTCTGAGGCAGGAAGATCCCAAGTTCAGTGATCTCTGGACTACAGGATGAATTCAAGGACATCCTGGACAACTTGGCATGACCCTAACTCATAATGAAATGTGAAAAGGTGACAAAGCATATAGAATGAGCATGGGCAAGGCCCTGCTTTCTGCCCCCTTGTACTTTTCCCTTTCAAAAGAAAAAAAAGCACCATATAAGTTACCAGTTGTCCTGGTTCTGTAAATAAAAACAATCTGCTGACAATAATTAAGAGAGGAAGAGTTTCCAAGCCAGAAAGGCTCTGAAGAACAAAGCCATTTATCCAGACAAGAAGTGTCCTGCTCCCAAATTTTAGTTTCACAGAATACCCAAGCAAGGGTTATCTAATTAGGATCCCTCCAGAGAAGCAAGTCCTGGGGAGCATTGGCCATCTAATGAGGATGTGCAGATCCAGATATCCTTAAGCTAAAGGGTTCACAACATAGAATTAGAAGATCTGGAGTATACAGAATGTCATTGCTTTTTGTTCCATCAATAATTCTGTGGCAGAGAGGGCAGGAAAAAATATCCAAAAACAATGGAAGATTTTATTGCCCATATGCCCTGTACCTTCCCTTAACACTCCCCTAAATTCTCACTCAGCAGCTGCCTCTTAATCCCACCATCTATACCTGCTGGGTTAACACTGTCTCCGTTTACTAAAATAGCGACATATGCCCCATAAATATGGACAAGAAATTTAAGGACACAGCATTTGGGGACTCTGATAGAAAATACACAACAGGGGCCTGGAGAGATGGCTCTATATTTTAGAATGCCTGCTACATTTTCAGAAAGCCCAAGTTCAATTCCTAGTACCTACACTGGGTCGTTAACAAGCACCTGTAACTCCAGCCTCAAAGAATCCAACACCCTCCTCTGGCCTCCACAGGCCATCCAAGTGGCGTTCATACACTCACACACACACACAGGGGGAGAGAGAGAGAGAGAGAGAGAGAGAGAG